AAGCCATAGTGTGAATAGGCGAAATCTAAATAGATAAAAATTGTCACTTGTTCGCACGTAAAAGAAGGGATGTTAGAAATGAAATGAAATGAAATGCTAACGTCTCACTGGCGAGGGACTGGTGTTCAGCAGAACGTAATGAATGTAATTTTTGTGTGTAGCTGTGGAGATACTATTTATCGCATGGATATTTCTAATAAACTAGAAAAACCTTGTTTTTCTCATTTTAATGAAATATTAATTTAGTTTAAGAGCGCAAACATTTTTAACGGCAGCCTTTAACAGAGAAAAAAATAGTAAATGTTCCCACTGTTTAAGCTTTGACGCGTTATTCTATTACAGATTTCAGCGGTCAAGATTCGAAATTTGCTCTCGCCACTTTCGGAGTTTTTTCTGGTTTGACTATAGTGTCGATGCCTGCATTTTTCAAGATTCGTGATCTGCGCTGCGTAAGACGACTTCTTTCTTTCTTTGCCATGGTTTACCCTATTTTCTGTTTAAGCATTGGTCCATCAGTACTCTTTTGCTGTTAAGCTCGAGTACTATGGCTAGCGCTTTGTACAATCTGGATCGTCTGGGCGGTATTCTCTGTGCTCCAATGATCATTTATTTGTCGTATTCCGCTGCTCTGAAAACCGCTATGTTAGTCGAGGAGAGACGTGCTAAGAATGAAAGCAAGGAAGATGCAGTGCTGAAGAAGGAATAATTCACCGTGGCCGAATGTCCGAGATCAAATCGAAGATGGATTGAGCTGTTGATAATTCATTAAAACTTTTTTCTAACGTAGATTGCTAAAAAATGTACTGAATCTCATTTGCAGTGTTTTGCGATCTGCTTATTAAAGCCGGTTTGTCTTTCATTAAAGTAGTTGTCTTCCACTGCAAGTTCCTGATTCGAGTTTGGTTTGTCGTTGTAATTGTCTTATTGCTATGTCCAACGTTAACTAATTCTTTTCGCCATTTAAAGTTAAGCAGAGGCAACAAAATGATCTAGATTAGATATATCTGACACTCTGGAATGGTACATTATATTTCAGATGTTCTTGACTTCTATGGCTTTATTTTTGTTAAGCACGCATCTGCTAGATTCATTGTAACTGGTAGTGTCGCCTGACTTTTTGCAGTTGGTGAGTGGAGAAAATTCAGGCATTTTTACTTTCTGTTAAAGGATCGTTTTGTTCAGCTCAAATAATTCAGTGCGCTCTGCACAAAAACCGGTAACGGACGTTGCCATTGCGGTGCTGGAGGACGTCGGAGAGAATTATGTCAACGCCTTCCTCTGTTTAGGGACTAGATTCTACGGTAAAAATATTTAGACTTTTGTCTAATCTTGTTACACAGTTGTGCTGAAACCCCCTAATTTAATATTTTTCGTAATGGTTAAATAAGTTGCATCCACTAGTTTTGATTACTTCGTTAATTTGTAACTCGTTCAAGACTCCTTCCCTTTACCGTTATTAAAACTGCACTTTGCCTCTTGTTACGTGGTACATATGCTTTATTTGAAAGTTTTGCCTATATAACGTCACTTAAGAACATTTTTTAACATTAATATGTAACAAGGATGGAAAAGTAAATGTTCTTTATATATTAATAGATAATGAGCAAAAAATTAGCTATTTAATATCTTTGCCAGTGATGTTTATCTGTGTTGTAGTCCTGAGGATACGCGCTGAACCTTAGTAAGAGATTTACTCTAGCACTCTATCCGAAAAAATACGTTTATAAATATGGATCTGTTGATCTGCCATACCAGGCTGTTTCGAAGTGGATCCGTTCGTTGTTTCAAATGTACGAACGCCGTATGCGACAGCTGATTCCTACTGTGAAATCGTTTAAAGAAAGGCCACTGAGTTATAAGACACATCTCAGTGATCTCTTAATGGCTTTGAACTTTCATTTCACAGCCAGGTAGATGCAACCATGACTGCATATATTTACGTCAAAAGAAGAGGGGCAATGATGTAGTGACTGAGTAACAGGTGGGTTTAGAACTGCGGAGGTGCCGGGTTCGAGTTCATCTGAGAAGCAGTCCGTCATAACCACGGATTACCTTCAGCAGTGAACTTACCAAACGCTGCTTTAACTGGGATTACTCATTTGGTACAGCAATGAACTCGAAACAGCTCCTGGATTCCAACCCCGGTCGGAGTCACATGCTTTTCTTCCGAGGTTGATAAAAAATATTACCATCTTGTGGGAAGGAAATCGGAGATTACACACTGCACTTGTCACATAACTTGTCGATTCTGCCACTGATTGCATGGAAATCGATATCTACTCTTCACTTAGAATTTTAAAAATTCATTAGTTTGACAGAACTTTCAAGTTCTGTTCACGGAGAGCCTCTCATAAATATATAGGCTGCTGCGTTAGTACAGTTGATCGAAATGACCACAGTCCGATCAAATAGAATCAAACGCGTTGCATGTTGATAACGACTATCGATCGGTACCGGAGAAAAAGCCCCATAGAAAAGAACCCGGCATAAAACTGTAAGGAAGAGCGACATTCCAACGGTTATAAACTCCTTTTTGATCATCTTCATGGAAAGGTACAACGCTCCACGACTTTGGCATAGAAAAATGCTTTGCAGCATGGAGTTAGTACTAGCTGAACATGCAGGTGCCATGTTAAGTCGCTTGGCAGTATGACTTCCACGTACTTACAAGCTTTATTTACAACACCGGCTGACCACAGAAGCACAGGGTTGTAGCTGAAAGATCGGTAAGTGTCTGGATTTTCGTGTTGCACATCAGACAATTTCATTCGTAATTTCCTCCAGTTTATGATATCTTTAACTGCTATTCCAGTTTTTAAGCAACTGAGGCTTGACATTGCAGTTTCTTTGTCGGTTTCAATAACCTTTATCCTTCGTTTTATCCCTCCTGGTTGTGCTAATCAGCAGCGTCGAATGATGCCTCCAACGTTTCTGATCCTCCGCCGGCTGCGAACTTTTGCAGGTTGTGCCGGAGATCAGTTTCTCTCGATGCCAACAACATAAGGTCATCAACAAACAGCAGACTTCTCGACGTCTACTCTGATACATTCGGATTTCATCTGTATATCCTATCCATGTACAGCTCAAGTAGGAGAGGGAACATAACACACTTTTGGCAGAGATTAATGTCAACAATGAAAGGCCTCGACTTAACGCCATTTACAATGACGCAACACCTACTATCAACATGTAATGTCTGGATGGCTCGTAGGAAATTGTCATCGATCCCGTACTTCTGCATATACTGCCAAAGCATGTTGCGCACAACTCGGTCGTACGTTTTCTCGAAGTCTGCAATGCACATGTATGAGGAAAAAGATGAGGTAAATTTCTCGATGTATCGTTGGCGAAGATCTAACCAGAGGTGTTTCGGCCTGATCTAAAAGTACACTGTTCTTCTTGTACTATAAAGTCAGTTACTTCGCGGCACATTTGTCTTACCTTTGAGTACGGTTTTCCTGCTAATCTCAGTCAGGTAATACTTCGATAATTGGAGCACTCCCTATAGTTTATCTTTTTGAATAGGAGTACTACAGCCCTCGTTACCCAGTTTATCTGTGTCTCCCCCTAGCCACTAAAGTTTTGCAGATTTGCCCTGTTCGCCTAAAACTTCAACATCATTAGTCCGTTTATCTTAAGATTTCGACAGTTTCAGCAGCTTGGCCACCCTTAACAAGTTCTGCTTCTTCATCTACAGTTCAGGTGAGTGGCTTTGACGTCGTTAAGGTTAAGCAGTTCCTCGAAGTATTCTTTCCATCGCTTAGATATATTTTTTTCTTTGGTAGAAGCAGTCAAAATCTTTCAGGCATCTTAGACTATACTTCTTTCCATCTCGGAGGTGGATGATCTGTCAGAATACGTTGCCTACCGCCTGGAAATACTACTCCATTGTCCCACTGAACTTTTCCAAGGGATCAGTGTTCGCATTAGACACTGCTGTAGCTGTAATCTACGCTCTTCTTATCGCGTTCGAGTTGAAGGCTCTTTCCTTTCAAACACGTCTTGAATGCAGCATCTCGCTAACAGCGAGTTAAACCTCTGGCGTCTACTAAGAAGTTCGTTTCTGACCTCCACGAGGCAGTTCAACGCTTCGTAATCCGTGGGATGCAGCAGTAAGTTCGAGTAAGCTACTTTTCAAGAGCTCTTTTCGAGTAAGCTACATTTGGTTTCCACGTCAGCCGTAATCACAGAGGTGTGCTTAAATCGTAATGCGATGTTGTTTACTATTTTTCATCTCGTATCCGCAAAGGGTGTTTTTCATTTGATTCTCGTGTTGCTTCTGTCTCCAGGTCTTCGCATGTTTCCATCGTTTATATCGGAGGGCGCCAATAACAACTACGGTTGGCAGCTCTACGTCTCTCTTAATGCGAATATCCATTTCAGAGCGTTGTCATTCAGATGATATGATTATTAGATTGATTGAATGAGGCACGAAAGCCGGTCTCATGTTTTTTTTTAAACAGTAAAATCATGAGTTCAAGCGCCTGCTTATGTTTATGAGTGACAAATCTTCTGAAACAGGATTTAACGTCGCATACTGCGCCGGCCCCTCATTTCAGAAATGCGAAGACCGGTTTGGAGAAGTTTTTCACCTTTTAATAATATCAAACATAGGAATCTAAGTTGTTGATATGCGCATAAGCATTTGTGGATTACCGGTTCTTGAAATACCGCCTGAGGAACAGATCTATTTATGGGTCTAATATAGAAGCATTGCAGCAGTGCGTCACGTCATGAAATCCGGTTTCAGAGAATTCGTGTATGTATTAATCATCTTTAAGCTGAGATGTTAAACAGTGAACTTCGCTAACATAACTCCTTTTACCATACTTTCTTTGATGACATACTATAGGTGAGATTTGCAAAACAAATTATTCAAGAGGCCATCCCAAGTCACTGACTGCCATTACTTCTGCGTTTAATCGCGCTTATACTGACATTAACATCTACGAGCTAAAGACAGGTTACATGTCGTGGAAAATCCGATCCGATCGACGCTGTTATTCAGAGAGGGTCTGCAGTTCCTGTATGGGTCGCTGGTTGCATAAGCTTTCACGACAGATGCAGATCGTTCCGTTAACGTCCTGCCATATGCCGATCTTACACAAAACCTCCTGCTTTGAAGCGGTAGGAAAAATTTCTTGTGCATCATTGTCTGCCAAACACCGACGTTTGATCAGCCGAGGACCTGCAATGAATAAAATAAAACGAAAGACATGTGACATTGTGAAATGTTTACGAAAGTAAAATATTAAAGCCTGTTGGTCGAGAAATCACTACATGTCTCGTCAAATATCCAGATATGTGACGATCGCAGGGTTTCACGTGACAGGTCAAGGTCGAAATTCAATCATCTAGATGGTGTTATGTCTAAGGTTGCTTAACTAGCTGTATGTTGAACGTAGCGATGGTTCAAAGCGTAAGCTATCTTTCTGTCGTGCGATGAATATTTTGAACAAACTTTCTGTTCGAATGAATGCTCTACTTTCAGACTTGAATCGCTTGTTGCATAACAGTCATGTTAGCCATTTATGCAGATTAGAAGAAGACACTCCGATGCGTAATATCCTAACAGCCGTTGCCGCTTTCCTTACAGCAGTCCCAAAGAAGGATATGAATTGATGGAGGAGACAATTTGTTTGAACAGGAGCGTTCCCGCGAATTACGAATAGTTTAACGGAGTTTTGGGGGAGGAAAGTCAAGATTCGCATGGTCAACGGTCTTACTACCGACCGGCATACTTAATATCAACAAGACTCGTAATGACGATGTGTGCTCGACACTTATTTTGTTCTTTAGTTACTGTCACCTCGGTGATGGTCGTATTGTGGGTGCTGCAAATATATAATATTCTAGCTCCTGTATAGCGTTTAATGCTGAACCAGAAGAGACAAGTTTCTGCTAAATTAATGTATTATACAAAATCATTTTGAGCATGAAAAAATAAGATCGTGGCTATCGATTTATGCTAATACTGAAGGGATGAATAACTCAATTACGCTACGTGCTTACTTCAAATTTAAGAAGCTCCAGCGATACATGTTGAAGCGCTTGAAGTTCGAACAAATCTAAGCAACATTTATTGCTCTATGCGTAGTGAGTA